AGCAGGATAGAGTCGATAAGGCCAGACCAAAAATATGTGTGTTTCATTGCACTGATGTAAAATTTCATATGCAGAATTCTAGATATCCAAAAGGCAACTTGGAAAAAAAATATCTTTAAGTCGCACCAATATTTGAAATATAGTGAAGATTTTAATTTTACTGGGGGACCCAGGAATTAATTTATTAATTTTGGGTGTTGCCCAAAATTTTAACATCGGAAAAGGACAAATTTTTGCACTTATCTAGAACTAATAAATTAGAATTGTCATGTAGGTTGTACATGCTACTACTTTCTGGCACCAAAAAATATACAGAACTGCATTATTTCTGAAATTGTGACAATTATATAACCCCACTGAACAGATCAAAGCAAATGTTTTTCTTCTGAAGATGTAATACTAAACTATTTCAAGCACTGCCGAGTGTAGAAAGCAAGAATTTATCGGACATTATTTCCATTGTAAAACAGATTGAATGAGGCGTAAAATAGTTTTCTGAGTTTGTGGTATTATTCCAAGTTATATTTTATAACGTAGAGTATTTATATTTTATGATGGCCGAGCGGAGCGAGTGTTAACAAATTCTCTATAAAAAATGGTAAAAATGTAGGTTTTTGGTTAAAACAATCTGATTAAAATTATCTGTTGCATGGCTTCGTTAACTTCGTACCACGCCAGGCGGAGCCAATTGTAACAGATGATTTTAGTCAGATTGTGGTTAACTGTTGATGTTTGTGTCATGCCCTATATGTGCATGTAGTTTAGGCGAGCATTTTGGCAATAAAATATTGATTTATTTTGTCATAAATATGAATCATGATCTAACTGTTTGTCTTTTATTGTGAAAAAGTATGCATACGTATGTACAAGGGCAACTCCTAATGAAAAAGGATGTACACACCAGGCTTTGATGCCTGCTTTATTGTCTTTGAAATTTTTGAAATTTACATTTTTTAATTGGTATAATAAAAAACTCCTGGTGATCATGTGTACATGAAACCACAGGTAAAAATACAGGTATATCCATCTATCATGAAATGGACTCTACCTTAGAAATAACACTTTACCATGGCCAATATACCTAATTCCAACAGATGGTATAGTCCTCTCTGATCAACGGACAGGGTGATCACATCACCGTGTGACATAAGAACAATAAGATTAGGTAGAGTCAGTCCGGTGAGCCTTGACCACTGACCTGACTGGACCCCCTACTAATATATAGACAATAGAGGATTAATTCCCTATTGTTTAGAGTATAAGTACTGGACTCCTTGTTTGGGCAACACCCATAGGCATATATAGATATTCAAACTGCTGACAAGGGGAAGCCATAGAAAATCTTAGTTGAAGGGATGGTTGATATTAGAAGGAAATCCCATATGAAACAGAAGTAAATCTTCAAAAACCTACGTCCAGAATATTTTTGGACACAGAAAAAAGGGTGTTGCCCGGGAAACTAGGGCAACACCCCTGGGTCCGCCACTGTTCATTGTGAATTTGCAGGGGTAAATATGAGTTAAACCATGTAGGTTACCTGTAGAATAATGACACATGTAGGATAGGTACGTGGAACCATATAGGGTTACTGATCTTTTTCTAAAAAAAAATGCCGGACAACAAAAGTGCTGTAAAATTTACCTATTGTAAATTTAAAAATATTATTAAAACATTTTTGAAGGGAAGTGGATAATTGACGTAATATGTATTGAATATAATGCAATATTTAAATGCTGTGCAGGAATATATATACATTAGCATAAATTTGATTCCCTAATGGAAAACCCTATTAATCTTACTTGAATGTAAAACTAAAAAAACAATCAAATATATATATACAGTGTATCAGCATATCAAATATGATCTCATTGTGTATCTGTGTATAAATTAAACATGGGCTTGACAGTTATCTGATAAAGTCTTAACTCCTGGGCATGATGTTTGACGATTATATAGGAGTCAGACGCAACAGATAATATTTACAAACCTCATCTCGTTCACATGATGTAAACAACATCATACTATTTATATATTTATGTCAGTGTAATTTAATCAGCGTATGAAAACTATACACTGTTTATTATGTAATTGAACCTGTTCGTGTGACCATCTTTATTAAGAGACCACCTGTGTTAAGAGACCACTTTTACATTTCTCTAAATGTAGCAATTTCTTTGTGAACTGAACCTGTAAAAAGAGACCACCTGTGTTAAAAGACCACTTTAAATATTCTCCATTGTAGTGACTTTACTGTGAACTGAACCTGCATAAAGAGACCACCTGTATTAAGAGACCACTTTTAATATTTTCCATTGTTGTGATTTCATTGTGCACTGAACCTTTATAAAGAGACCACCTGTGCTAAGAGACCACTTTTAATATTTTCCATCAAAGGGATTTCATTGTGCACTGAACCTTTATAAAGAGACCACCGGTGCTAAGAGACCACTTTTAAACTTCTTTCGTTCTAGGGATTTCATTGTGAAATGAACCTGTATAAAGAGACCACCTGTATTAAGAGACCACTTTTACATTTCTCTAAATGTAGCAATTTCTTTGTGAACTGAACCTGTATAAAGAGACCACCTGTGTTAAGAGACCACTTTTCATTCTCTCCAATGTAGTGACTTTATTGTGAACTGAATTCACCCGTGTTATAATTAACAGACCACTTTTTGAACTTCCCTTGGTTCAGTTTTAACTGTGCTGTAAGTTTTCGTTATAATTTTCTTGGAATTGAAACAAAACTGTTAAAAACTACATTTCTATATATCAGCAGTGAACTAAACAATTGTTATTCACAATGACCCGAACCAGATACATTGTTTCCTTTGGCTTACAACCCATGATCATGACGAGGTAAAAACAAACATCTAGCCAGTTATCTACTTCCCTGTGCATGTCCACTGTTTGTATACACATTATGCAATCGCTATCTGCTCATATTAATATTCCGCCTTCATGCTGACAGATTTGGGTTGTTTTTTTGGGGGGGGGGGGGGCCAAAACGAAAGTTGCCTTCGAAAGTAACATATAACTCATTCACCCCTGAAGACACTTTTGAACTCCTCTGATTCAAAGGTTGGAATAGTTGATTACGAACTGAGTTGAATGTCTTTTACTGACAATACCAGGCCAATGCACAATCATTTTCTGATCATGAATCAGTTGGTTGTTTGTTTTGGGTTGAACATTCTTGCAACAGCTAAGGTCATATATTATAGGAAGATGAGTGCCTTATTGGGAGTCACACCGCTGAAAGGAAAGAGTGTGAAAGTATGAAAAAGATAAAGATCCCAATGCAAGTGTTGCAATAGGGACAGCAGATAGTTTTGTTCTTTTCTCCTGAGCAGAAGAGACAGAAGAAAACCACCGATTTTACAGGGGCCTCATGTGCATATTAGTCATATTTTACAATAGTATGCAGAATTACGCTACAGGAGGTCTACCCTTTTCCCAAAATCTGCAAATAATGTACGTCTGAAAACAAACTGATTTTGCAACTACATATTATATACTGATATGAAATATGTTCTGAACTCAATACAGAATTTAATTTGAAAAAAACAAAACTTTAAAATCAGTTTGGTTTCTTTTATCTCAAACAGGTAAATAAGCTCCTTTTTCAATTTCAAACCTTGCCAGAAACAAATGAAACTCGATCCTTTACGTCACATGCATTTTTCGAAAACATTCTTGTGTTGTACACATTTCGTACCTTTTTAAGATTTGACGAATGATAGCTCTGTGTATATTATGCAATACCTCACTCAATAGGTTTTATGAAATCCAAACAAAGGCTGCGTAAAAAAAAAAATCCAATTCACATGTCTCTACAGAAATTTATATCAGTTAGGGTCTGCTCAAGGATGGTCTCGTGTCCTTCAGTACATGTGCCGTCAGAATACGGTCAAACCTTACTAAACAACACACTACCAGGAATAGACACTAAATTTATACTGTACTGGTAATTTTCAGGACTTCCAAAAAAGGCTTACGTAGGCGGATAGAAAGAATTGCGACAAAGGTCTGGAAAATTATGAGGCATAAATGCAAATTCTACATTTTAGTGTACATGTACATGTATGTTCAGCATGAAATGACAACAAAAATATTTTTGATTTTTTTTGTTCGAAAATAAACGTGTAAAAGATAATTGTTAGCAGTCTGCCACTCTGTGAATTAAGGACGTAAGAACGAGACTAGTTCTACGTACCCGCAGCGCAGTCTTGTGGATTTTATTAGATTCAAAACTTGCGGTGTCATATAATGTAATTAGATAATATACATTATAAAATTGTACTTGACTGAAAAAAATATTTTCACAATTTGTGTGAAATTTATGCAGAAGAAAATTGAACAGTGCATGGGATTTTTCTTGATCAATTATCAAACTTGAGAAAACAAATGATGGTGTACTAGAGCATATTAAAACACTTTCCTTGCTTTTTTCTGTCCATTTTTTTCTGACTTTAATTACCAACATTCAAGCCCTTTTGTTATAAATGCCTTTATATGGATAACAAAGAAACAAAAAGATTGGACATTCTAGAGAAAGCGTCTGTAAGACATTGCCCCTTAAAAGCTTCGGCCCAATGGTTGACCTATAAATAGAAACAGATTAAATAGATAAATAGATTTTGGCACTGACCTTTGGACCCTGAAATACAAACTCATTTGAGATATGCTGGAACTTGAACTTTGTATGTTCTTTTTCTTTATGAAAATAACTTAGGAAATGAAATTGACAGAGTCCTGAAAATGCGTTAAGACGCAAGGAAAGGACCCTAAGCGACAGGACGGGACGGAATATCTGATGGACAAATGTATAACACTATGTATTCTGACCCCTGTTAAAATGGCGGAGGCATCATAATCTACAAAACTCTTTTATTTCTTCTTCTTCTTTCAATATGTCTTCATCTTTCCGGGATTAGCTTGAGAAACTGATGCCAAACTGCTATAATTTTCCTATTCTGTTTATCGAAGTATTGACTCACCATTTTGTCATGCATCTGGCATATATACTGATGGAACCGCCGACACCACAGTCCCCGTCTCGTTGTCAGTACTTGTGGGTGCTCGTCTGAAACAGAATAAGATATTCAGAAATCCTATTTCCACTCATGTACAATTGTACAAATATCCTAATTTGTGTATATATATAGCAGCCAGCATTACCTGTGCATATAATCATCTTGAAACAAACACAATTAACTTTTCAGTATTCTGAAATCGAAATTTGATAATAAAATTTCTTAACTGCAAATTAAAATACAAATGAATGAAGTGGGCCTGTAGCTAGGGCAAAACAAAAATTGAAAATGTCTGTAAGACATAAATGCCCCAGGGGCCCCTGCTCATGGACATGGACAACACTATATGCCCCCCCCCCCCCCCAATTTTATGACGGGGGCATATAATATATATGTGTTTCTAGTAACTAACCCTAGCTAATTAACTCATTCACCCCTGAAGACACATTTGAACTCTTCCAATTCAAAGGTTGGAATAGTTTATTATGAAATTTCAGGGGTAAATGAGTTTATTGCGATTGTATGATTTCACAGGCAAAGTTAAGTCATAAGACAGCCAACAGCTGTCCAGTACCCTATTTTTTTCAAAGCTGTTACCTGAAAAACATGTATTTTTTTGTTTAGCCTTGTTGTTACATTTTAGCACTGCCCGACAGCTCTAGATCTTCAAGTATACAAATTCAATTAACGAATTCTAAACAAATTCAGCATTCTTCCATAAATGTATATATATATCAAAATTCCATTGGAGCATTTGTTCCCAATCAGCACAAGGATTATATATTACTGAGATAAAAAAAGTGCCTTAGGTCAAACAAAATAATTGCTGTTTCTGTCGCTTGAAAAATAAAGATAATTGTCCATTGCAGACTGCATTACAAATGTAGCTAGTCTAACCATATTGCAGACACTAGACCAAATAAACACTCATTATAACGTGAATGGACACTAATTGTTATTGACTTTTAAAACACTGTCAGCAATTTGTAAAATCTTTTGAAATGCCAGTACAGTTAATTAAAGCTTACTTTCAAATGGAGGCATTCAAAGAATTTACTGAAACACCTTTGTCAGCGAATTTCTGGTCACGAAATTCCTTTGTGTGTATATATATATAGCCATGATTTTGTAATTGTATATTATACATAGTTTAAAAGTACAGCGAGAATGATATTTTGTACTAAAAGTCAGGGTTAGACACTAGGCATACCTACAGGTATTTTGCTTGCAGTCCACATAACAATTTAGTTGTATAAAGATGATCTGCTAGTCCTTGTCAATGTAACTAGTTTGAGATTTCCTGAAGGTTATACGCCCTAAGCACGAAATGGGAAATAAAGGTAAAATTGACAACAGCTTATATTTTATAAGACGGACATAAAAACCTTCTATCGCAATAAAAATATGGTGAAGTCCTCAGAAATTTTGACAATAAACACGCAATATTTCTGTATTTTAAGCAACTTTTTTGAAAGGAATGTTGAAATATATAATAATCTCTCCATCAAACAGCCATGAACCTTTGACATGGCTAAAAGTCTGGTTTGCTCCGATTAGTCTTGTAATTTGTGTTTTACAACCTATTAACAGCTATGGGCATTTTAACATGAGCAAGGTTTTGGTGAAAGGAGGAAAACCAGAGTACCCGGAGAAAAACCACCGTTCTGCGGCCAGTACCTGGTGACTGCCCCACGTAGGCCTAAAACAGGCGACCCAGTGGTAGAGATCGCGAGCTAGTGATCATAGACGATCAGACGCCTTAACAACATGGCCGCCACCGCAACCCCTTTAGGTTATGTTAGGTGATTTTTACCTGTTGTTGCTGAAATTTACAAGTTTAAGATCTTGACTAACATGTTTAACCCATGGAAGTTTAACCCTTTCACCCCTATGTAACTTAAGTAGAATCTACCATGCATTGATCTGGATGAGTCCATTATTACAGTGGTGAAAGGGTTATAAGATACCTCGATCAGCATAGTTTATTAACTTTATTAGTAGTGACCAGTACAAATGTATATTTTGCAATTTTTGTTTTCTGAATTAGCTCAAATAAATTATTTTTATATTTTCTATTGTAATTCAGAAATTTAATCTAATATATACAATGTTGTAGATATTTTAAAATTCAATTTTTAACAATGAATTAATCTGTTTCATTTAAATTTCACAATTTCAACATTTCAAAATTTCTAATTTACTGGAAACATGCAGATTACATTTGCAAATATTTTTTCCTAATTTGGACACTGGGTTTGTTTCCCAAAATACCCTGATAAATCTGTAAAGATATATATACCTTGAAAACTTTACAAGAAGTTATACTAAAACTGGGTAAAGCAAAAATTTACAAGTGAAACATTCCTACCCCAGGATAGACATTTGATACAACACAGAGTCTTCCATCACTTGTCGTACAGACTACAATAATGTTTGTGTGCATTTACGGTAATGAGACACGTTCTTGCACTGGCGTAAATAACTCTAAATGACACGACCATGGACTTACCTTGAGGATGAAAAACTGAGGTAGATACAATTTCGTCATCATTCAGAATATACACGTACACCCCAGTCATCTATTATCTAAATTGTAGCTCCGGTGCACGTACACACTAGTCATCTATTATCTAAATTGTAGCTCCGGTGCATGTACACACTAGTCATCTATTATCTAAATTGTAGCTCCGGTGCATGTACACACTAGTCATCTATTATCTAAATTGTAGCTCTGGTGCGTTAATTTTGTTACAAATACGTATACACACACACGCTTTATCGCCATACAAGCTGGTTAACACCGGAAGACCAAAATACATCAATGAAACTATCCGGACATGCATTCCACGCAGAGATGTTTTAAATAAGACCAAATTTGCTGAGAAGGCAATATATGGTAGCAATACAGCTATGCACATTTAAGTAGCGTATGAAATTGTCCGATAACGTATATATATGATTCTTTTTATGACTATATATATAGTCAATGTTCTGGCAGGGTCTGTAAAATCTTTAAATAAGACAGACCTGATATATTCCTAGGAACACACCAATTCTTGGCCCACTATGACAGATGGAAGATCTAGATAGTTTGTAAATAATTGCAAGATTATGCATGGAATTCATTGTAAATACTATTCAAAAATAAACGTGTACAATATTTGAACATACAAATTTCATGACAATAGCGGTACTGTTACATATTTATCCAATTTAAATGGCCCTTGGTCATAAATCATTGTCCCTTCTGCATTGGCTCAGATTTTAATTGATAGTAAAAACTTGAAATCTTCAACCAAGATAAAATGATCAATATTTCCTTCAAATAAAAAAAAATATGAAAATTTAGTATTTTTCAGCATGCAAGCCAATAACCTGCAGTTGTAATTATAAGCAATGCAGATCCAGAGTTATCCCATCAATTTAACTGTTATTTTAGTGACAATGGAAAGATTTCATCTAAAATTTAAATGATAGTGCAATGTTATTTCTATACAGTATATATAAATATCTCTTAGCTCATTCACCCCTAAAACACATTTGAACTCTTCCAATTCAAAGGTTTGAACAGTTCATTATGAAATTTCAGGGGTGAATGAGTTAACATAACATGTCTAGTTTACAAAGAGTTCTGGAAATGTACATGTACATATACTTATTGTACATTTCATCAAAGCAAATGCAAAAGGAAACAAGAATTTTGTTTTTGTGAACAAAAACATATGTCTCTCCTTATTAGCCAATAGAAAAACTCCAGTATAAAAAATTGACAAAGGGCCATATCACTTTATATAGTAGGGCAAGAGGCCCGAATTTAGAATGCGACACTCCTACTTCCCAAGATACGATAAAACTTTAGCAAGTTTGGTCATTGTAGATGAAATAACCTGGAAGTTATGCTGTGGACAAGCTTCAGTATTAAAATTTAACAAAGGGCCATAACTCTGTATATAGTGACGCACGAGACCTAATTCCAGTGCACTGCACACCTTGCGTGAGTGATGCAGGTATAATTCAAGTTTGATTAAGATATCTTTAATGGTTTAGAAGTTATGCCATGGACAAATTTCGGTATTAAAAATAAACACAGGGCCATAACTCTGTATATATATAGTGGGGCATAAAATCTGATTTTAGTGTGAGAAATTCCGCCTTCCTAAGATACATCAATATGGTAAGATTGGTCAACGTAGGTGAAATAACATGGAACCTATGCTGTGGACAAACTTCGGTATTAAAATCAAACAAAGGGCCATAACTCTGTATATGGTGAAGCGTGAGACCTAATTCTGTTGCACTGCACACCTTCTGTGGGTGAGGCAGATATATAGTTCAAGCTTCATCAATATATCTTTAACGGTTTGAAATGTACTGGCTGGACAAGAATTTACTGAAAATGTGCACTTATTTGACCTTTGACCGTGAGGTGAAGGTCACAGTGACCTAATTCCAGTGCAATGCACACCTCCTGTGGGCGATACATGCATACCTAAAGTTTCATCAAGATATCTTAAATGGTTTAAAAGTTATGGCCCGGACAAGTCAGATTAGAAGAAGAAGAAGAACCAGTACTAATACAATATGTCTCCCTTCATTCGAAGGGGAGACATAATTATTTGGCCGCATTAAACACAAATCTGGATTGGAAAAACTACAGTTTGGACAAAGTGTATAATACATACTGTACTTGATGAATTCTTGTTTGTCAAAGACATTTAAACTCCAGTGTTGAAAGCTCGGAATGATCAATACACGATTTTGTACAGAGTCGGATAGACAGAAAGCTGCGATTGCATTATGGAGTAGAGAAAAGCACTTGAAGGAATGCAGAACTCAATGTCATTCCCAACAGGGTAATATCTCACCAATTATTATACACCTCTACTGAGTGGTAGCTGTACCGTATTGCTTCTTTTTAACACCCCGGGAGATTGATCAGAACATGGGAAAGCAAGAGGCCCATCTGGCCTGCATAGCTCACCTGTTTTTAATGTTAATTATCTCAACTAGACAAGAAGTTGATATATTCCCCTTGTTGGCATCATTTCAG